CTAGCCCCCACTTTCGTGAGAAATCTACAGGTCCGTTAGCACAGACAGCTGAGTTAGCACAACAAGCCGAGGAGCTAACCTGAAGCTTCCTCGTCTTCGTCACTGGTTACTGCTTACACAGCAAGACAGCCATCCAAAAGAAAGTCTCGTTCCTCCGCGCTTCCCGGTTGTATCGTTCTATGGTCACGCCATCCACGTGCAAATCCATATCCATGTATTATCCATATTGAGAGACACTAGCTACGTCCCAACAGTGGGTGTGTGTGGGGGGGCGATAGCTTCGTGGGTGCGGGGAGGGGAGCAGAAAGAGAGAGGCCAGCGAGTCCGCGGCTTCAAAATCCCAAAGTCAGTTAGTGCAGCTTTAACTCAATGGTTGCAACGGAAAAACCACGCACAGGTAAACTTAGGGTTTGCTTAGATCCAAAGGATCTCAACAAAGCGATAAAACGCCCGCATTACCCATTGCCAACACTTGAGGATATTGTAGCAAAGCTATCAGGAGCATGTTACTTCAGCGTAATGGATGCTAAATCTGGGTATTGGGCAATAAAGCTTACAGAAGAATCCTCAAAGCTAACAACTTTTAACACTGTGTTTGGCCGATACAGATATCTGCGTCTGCCATTTGGACTCAGATCATCACAAGACGAATTCCAGCGCAAAATGGATGAGACTTTTGAAGGTCTCAATGGCGTTACAGCCATAGTAGACGACGTTCTCATCTACGGCCAAAGCAGAGAAGAACATGATAAAAATCTACGCGCAATGCTGCAGCGCTCCAGGGAAAGGGGAGTAAAGCTTAACCCTGACAAGAGCACCGTCTGCGCAACCCAAATAAGCTACTTCGGACATTTAATAACAAAAGATGGAGTCAAACCTGACCCCGCAAAGATGGTGGCTGTCAGGGATATGGAGCCACCCAAGGACAAAGGTGAGCTTGAGACCATTCTTGGCATGGTTAACTATCTGTCAAAGTTTGCCCCCATGCTCGCAGACATCAACGCCCCACTGCGCCAGCTGTTAAAGGAGTCAAGCGCGTTTGTCTGGGATGCACAACACGACAAAGCATTTCGCCAAATGAAAGAACTCATAACCCGAGAGCCAGGCCCTGTCCTAGTTTACTATGACCCCAAGAAAGAGCTTAGGCTGTGAGTTGATGCATCTAAATATGGACTTGGTGCCACTCTGCTTCAAGAGGGTAAACCAATCGGGTATGCATCCAGATCACTCACAGATTGCGAAATCAATTATGCACAAATTGAAAAAGAGCTTTATGCCATCTTATTCGGATGCAAGCGTTTTCACCAATATGTGTATGGTCGTCACGTCATTGTGGAAAGTGACCACAAACCATTGGAATCAATTTTACGCAAACCACTCACTGCAGCACCTCCAAGATTACAAAGAATGATTCTCCAGCTACAAAGATACGACTTCACAATCATTCACAAACCAGGCAAAGACATTCCTCTCGCTGATACTCTCTCCCGGAAGTCACTTCATGATCAAGATAACAGCCTCAGAGAAGGTATGGACTTACAGGTGCATACAGTATACAGTAGCTTACCAGTAAGCGATACAAAACTAAAGGAAATACAGACAGAGACAGACAAGGACACTCAGTTTACACGGCTAAAGAAGACAATCGAGGACGGATGGCCTGAGGAAAAGAAACAGTGTCCTCAGTTGATTGCAGAGTATTGGAACTATCGGGATGAACTGTCTCAAATCAATAATATCCTTTTCAAGGGAGAAAAGATAATAGTTCCACAGTCATTACGTCCAGAAATGTTGTCCCGAATCCACACAAGCCACCTGGGCATGGAAAAGTGCAAACAAAGAGCCCGTGACATCCTGTTCTGGCCCGGAATGAACAAACAAATAGAAGACATGGTTGCACGGTGCCCAGTGTGTTTGGAGCACAGGCCATCAAACACGAAAGAGCCCATGGTCAACCATACAATACCAGACAGGCCATGGCAAACAGTGGCTACTGACCTTTTCATTTGGAACAATGCTAACTACATTGTTACAGTTGACTATTACAGCAGGTACTTTGAGATTGACAAGCTCCACAGCACAACCGCCTCTGCAGTCATACATAAACTCAAAGCCACATTTCCTCGGCATGGTATCCCCGAAACTGTGATATCTGACAATGGCCCCCAATACAAGAGCAAGGAGTTTGAAACGTTTTCAAACTTATGGGAGTTCAAGCATATAACATCAAGTCTGTACTACCCACAGAGCAACGGCCTTGCAGAAAAGGCTGTACAAACAGTCAAGTTGCTCATGGAAAAAGCCAAATCAGATAACAAGGACCCATACCTGAGCATCCTTGAATATCGCAACACACCGGTGGACAACTTTAAAACACCTGCACAGCTGCTCATGAGTAGACGCCTTCGCTCCATCATTCCATGCACTCACCAGCAGCTCAAACCTAAAGCCATCAGCCACAGGGAGACTCTTACAAAAAGAGATCTTCGTCAAAAACATCAAAAGAAATATTATGACAGATCTTCAAAACCGCTCTCAGCTCTACGCAACGGACAAAGTGTTCGCTTTCAGGAAAGGGGACATTGGAAACCAGCATCTGTCATTCGTGCAGCCGACACTGCCAGATCTTACCACATTCAAACACCAGATGGACTGCAATACAGGAGAAACCGTCGTCACCTAATGGACTCTAAAGAACCACCCATAGCTCACCATGGTGACCATTCTCAGCTGGAAACTCCACCTGATAAGACTGAGCACAGTTCACAACCAACACCTATGACTACTACCGCTACTTACCATACCCGATCTGGTCGCGAAGTTAAGCCGAGGGCTATCTTAGACCTGTAATAAGTTTATTAATGCATAGTGTTCAGTATATGCATATGTTGTGATTATTTGTTTAAATATTCCATATTGTTATGTGGTATTTTTCTTAGTTTTAGCACAGGTTCCTAATTCATTCAAAAGAAAATAATTAAACTAAATAACATAGTGCAATATCTTCATATTTTTTATTTATTTTTTATACCCTACAAATTATATGTACTATTTAGCTGTTTGAATTTTTAGATACTATATATTTTGTTTTCTTTTAAAAGAAGGGGGATGTAATATTCTGTGATAGAATATGCTGTGAGACATTACTGCATCATTCAACATTGTATCACGTTCTGTTTGATCCTTACGTCACATGTATCTTACGTGCTGCGTGACCTGTGATAGAGCGCAACCTGCCGTTACATTTGGTCATTGTCATTCTGCTCAACTGCCAGTAAACAGCACTACGAAACCCGGACTGTCGTACTTACTTTTTGTACATACGGTACATCTATTTTAAACATAGAAACATAACATCCAGTTAATATAATAGATCCATGCTAGTAGCGAATGGGACATCACAGGACCGAAAGATTAGCGGAACTCGCCTATATTTGGGCATTGTCTGGTCCTCCCGGTTCTGCGCAGTGGACGAGCTCACCAAATACGTGTATGGCTCTCATGCACGTGCACAGAGGGGCCCGCCCGCTCTGACCAATCAGCGCTGCTGATCAGAGCAACGGTAGAGCAAAGCCAGAAGGAGCAGTGAAGTGAGTTTGTGGCAGTAAAGTGTGAATTTAAAGAAAACCGAAGGATTAAAGAAGAAAAAAAGTTCAGGATGACAAGGGACACTAAAATCCCCACAAAATCCGATCTTTATGAAAGCTGTAGGTTCTCTGTCAGCTGAGGTCGAGCTGTTTTAGTTTACATTGAGTTCTATGGGACTTTTTTCAGGGTAGCTTGCTTGAATTTTGTCTGCAGTACCACGGGCGCCCCCTGTGCCCGTAGGTGGGACAGCTATAAGCTAGTAATACCCTATCCAGTTATTATTATAGATAAATACAAGCAAATCAGCGTCATTTTGATGGGTCAACGATCTTCAGCCACGCCCACATTGTGACGTCAGGGGTGAGTTTTCTCCGCTTTATTTCTAATGCGGCGAAAACCTTTAACTTTTTCTTTGCCCTCTGAGTGCCTCAGTTTTCTCCGCTTTATTATTTTGATTTTTATCCCCAATCTGAAGAGCACCTGGGAGAAACATTTTCACTGCACAATAGACTCCCAGAAGCACTTCCGGTTCATGGCTCGGATACAAACAAACCGTCAGCTGTTCGAAGAGGCTGTTTAAATGAATGGTGCAAAATGCTCTGCTTTGTTTTCGGCTGTTATCATCAAAGTTTACATGAAGCATGCTCATTTTTTGGGTTTCCCAAAGACCAACTGAAGCTGTGGGAAAAGCTATGCAGTTCTGATAAAATATGTTGTCTGATTTCAGAGACAGTTAACTTGAACATGTATTCAAGCTAACTTGTAGTTAATGCTAACCTGTAATAGTGCGCGGCCAAGCCTTTAATTGTGGCTTGTATTTTAAGATAAGAAACTTTATTGATGTCACACAGGATAAATATTGTCTCTCAAACATTTATTTATTTGAGAGATAAAGGAGGAACATATTAACACGTATTAAATAACATTAAACAAATGTTCAAATATAACAGAAAACGGACAATCATTCGTATTAAATGAATAGGTAACCCAACTACATCATATTATTTTTGACAGCACAGCAAAAAGGAAAAAGGCCCAATGTGAAGCTGCAGTGAGTGTGAAGTGGAGATGGAGCTGATGAACAGATAGAAAACTGATCATTCATAAACATTGGCTCATAACCAAAGCAGCAAAGATAGCTGTAAGGGACAACATCAATTTATTTGCATAGGAATAGTGTTTCTATATTTTCTTTCTGATGCGTGATAGTGGATTAAAATACAATGAGTTTGAACCATAGACTGTATGTTTGAACACGGCCCTGTGCCTTTCTCATCTCCCCGTCATATGGAAACGTCAGCACATGGCCAGTTCACAGCTAATTCCGACTGTAAAGGTTGATGTTTTATTATTGATAGAAAATGTTTTATTTTGACGCTCCCTGTCTCTCAGAATTACTCCACATGAAGTCTTCATTGGTCCTGTGTGGCAGCCCTTTGCTCAGCTGGTATGTATTCTTCTGGTGAGGGGGCTTTCTTTCTCGCTTTATAGTCCAACCACGCCCTGTACACCATGTCTGGTGTCTTGTGTGCTGTCTTTGATTTTAGAGATGTGTTGGTCTCATCAAAAGACTCCAATGAGGCTCTTTCCTGGATAAAGCCTATTTGTTGTGGCATGCTTACCCTTTTCAGGATGCAGTCTGTGATGATGGCGGCGCTGAACTCAGGTTCCACCATGATTGTGAATAGCATCCACTCCCCAAGGTTTGCAATCACAGCTTGGTGTATCGCATTAGCTGCTTCTCTGATGTGATGCAGATCAGGTTTGACCCGAACAATACATTCAGATTTGTGTTGCTCCACATACTTCAAGAGAAGCTGGAAGAGTTGCTCTATATTCATTTCCTCTGAGGTAGCCAACACCCGAAAGCACACTTCTAGCAGCAGGTAAGACCAATGCTGGTCGTTCCATTGGATTTCCACCTGTGAAGCGGCTTCCTGGTCCTTACATAGTGGTCTCAGCAGCTCCTTAGACTTGTTCTCCTGGCCCTTGAGCAACATTTCCGTAGCAGCCTCTTCAGCGATGTATTGAATTTGTATTATGGTGTTTTTGGACGCCATTGGTGGAGTCACTTTCCTGGTATCAGAGCTGACTTTCATCTCTGTAGATCTGGTTTCATTCTCAGAATCCGAGCATTCACTTTCCTCCGACACTTGAGGACCACGTGTGCTAAAGTCTGTGCTGTGATGGCGCACAGCATTGGTCTGCTGTGCGACATCAGGTAGAGGCTCCGAGTAATGTTTCCGACATTCCTGATCTCTGGCGAAACGTAAAAGGGGTTTGATCAAGTGCATCATTTTGACCAGATGTTCTTTGGGGGGCACGTATGAGGTTTTGGGCTGTATTTCACTGTGGCTCTGCCCAGCGTTGACACTGCTACACACTACTGCGCTCAAGGCCTTGAAGAGCGGAGCACACGCGTCGTGTGAGGTGCTCAATAGGAAATCAAAGATATCCGTCAGACAGGGCTCCAGAGCTCTGCTGATGTCTTCTTGTGACACCAGGGGGCACTCTGGTTGACTCAAGAGGTCCAAAATATTATTAGACAGAGTGTCAATTATTTCCAATAACATCTCTGCCAGGACTTTCTTGGGCTTTGTCATCTGCAGGGCCTGTTTCCAGTACCTCAGTGCAACAGACTTTAGTTGCTCTGTGGAGATCTGAGAAACAATGTCATTTGAGACGCAATCCCCATCAAAATCCTGCATACTGCTTTTCTTAAAATGAGAAATACAACTCAACTAAATAAACTTTATCTTAATAATAAGCCGACTTATGTTGCTTCCGCTTCCCTCTCTCCCCCCTCTCTGTCTGCATCTGTCTGTCTCTGTTTGCCTCTGTCTGTCTCTGTCTGTCTCTGTCTGTCTCTATTTCTACCTCCTACCTCCGTGTCTGTCCCTGTCCTCTCCCTCTCTGGTTGAGTACCAGTGAACTCAAAGGCTTGCCTTCTAAATGACATAATCCTTTATGATGTCACTTAAGCGGAGGTTTCCATGGCAACGTCTCCATGGCAACGTTTAAAGACCATAATCTATCCACCTATTCATTGATTGAATGAGTGAGCATACATTTTAGAACTTAGTATTTTCTAACGCTTGCCATAGGAAAAACGTAATAATGAAGTTTAGCTTTACAGATTGTATAAATACTGTTACGTTTTTGCACTGTAAGGCCAACAGAAATCATCAAAATGTGTGAACAAACAGCGTTAGCATTGAATTTGCAATGAAAGTAATACTTTTCATATACAGAAGAGGGCGCAAGGCCCACATCATTCAGCGCCACAGTACTAGAGTAAGCACGGTATTAATTAGTTCAAATTGTTTCGACAAATTACGGAAGCTTATTGCATTCACTTGAAATAAAAAAGTTTCTGTTTTTATGAGACAAATAAATCCTGTTTTTATGAGTTAAAAAAAATCCTGATTTTACGAGACAAATAAATCCTGTTTTTACGAGTTAAAAAAAATCCTGTTTTTACGAGACACATAAATCCTGTTTTTACGAGACAAATAAATCCTGTTTTCACGAGACAAATAAATCCTGTTTTTACGAGACAAATAAATCCTGTTTTTACGAGACAAATAAATCCTGTTTTCACGAGACAAATAAATCCTGTTTTTACGAGACAAATAAATCCTGTTTTTACGAGACACATAAATCCTGTGATCAGCTTGATGAGTGCAATACAATGACTCGGTTAATCAATTTAATCCGATTTTACTTTAATTTAGGGTTAATGCATTGGGAAATCTTAATCTCCTTGAGAACTTTAGATGGTGTAATGATCAGTTTGTCAACTTTAAGAAGATATCTCAGGTCGATGCGTTTGTTCAGGCGTAAAGAGAAGTCAAGCCTGCTGGACGTTGCCTTGTTTCTCCAAGATCAGCTAAACCAGCACGGCTCACTCCATGGTTACAAAATGATGCATCTGAAATGCATTCAAGCAGGATACGTTGTGACACAAGAGACAATCAGACGCCTCCTAAAGATATTGGATCCATGTGGTGTAGAGCTGAGACGCAGAAATCGTCTTCACCGCCGTATATATCAGAACCCAGGACCGAACTTTTTGTGGCACATAGATTCTTACGACAAGCTTAAACCCTATGGAATCTGCATAAACGGTGCAGTGGACGGCTTTTCAAGACTGGTGATATGGTTACATGCATTCTCCACTAACAGCGACCCAAAGGTAATAGCCGGATACTTTATCAATCAGGTGTCATCACGCAATGGAACTGCCACAAGAATACGATCCAATCTGGGCACAGAGAACTGTCATGTTGGACAGATGCAAGTTTTCCTCAGAAATGAACACACAGATGATTTCTCAACGAGAAGTTACCTGACGGGATCAAGTAATCACAATCAGCGCATTGAACAGTGGTGGGGATTTCTAAGGAAGCAACACGCACAGTATTGGATGAATGTATTTCAGGATCTAAAGGAGACGGGCTACTTCTCTGGTGACTTTCTGGACAAAAATCTCGTCCAGTTCACATGCCTTGAGTTAATAGAGGTAAATGTATTCAACAATTCTGTTAAATAGTTTTAGGATAGATGGGTGCGTGTTATTATTATTACTGGCGATATTAAAGGTGGCACTGCGCCCCCTAGTGTTTGATCTAAAGAGAATATTTGTTAGAAATTACATACAATTCAATCAGTAAAGACTACTGAAATGTATTTCTACAAAAATAATTTCTGCCACCTCATATAGTCGGAGTGACACCATAAATAGTTAATTATTAGTACATTCAATTGTCTATTTAAAATGTTATGTATTTAAAACAAATTATTTCATGAGTATTTAATTGTGGCACTCAAAATCATCCATACATATAAGGTGCATAGTGAAATTAAGATGATACTTGATCAATGGTGGTGGTCGGAGGCACCGATGACACAGACTGGTTACCTCGCTTCTGTCAGTGTGTTCCAGGGCAGCTGTGGCTACTGTAGAAGTTCATCACCACCGTGTATGGAGTGAATGGATAATGACATGTAAAGCGTCTTTGAGTGTCCACAAAAGCACTATATAAAACCGATCCATTATTATTATAAATAAATCTAATTCCTTTCTCTTATGTTATGGGATAGTTATGTTTAATTTAGTTAAGATCAAAACAAAATATGAATAAGTGAAGTTTGCAATGTGTTGCTTTTATCATAACTGCCCATACAAACATTTTATATTTGTAGAAGGAGCTGCAGGAGATTGTCCACCTCTGGAATACCCACAGAATTCGTCGATCCAGGCATGCAGCAGCTCCAGCAGGACGTCCTGTGATGATGTACATTCTACCTCATCTGTATGGTGCAAGAGAACACCTTAAAGCCGTTTCCCATGAAAAGATCCAGGCCTGCCAAGAAGAGTGCCTCCAGAGAGGCCCATTACCATGTGATAAAACAGTATTTGACATTTGTTGCTATGCCATGGCAGAAAACAATCTTAAACCACCCACAACAGCAGAGGAATCTATTGAGCTTTACAGGTTTTTACGTGCTTACATTTATATCCACATTTGATAAAGAAAACCTGCAAAATGTCTCACCATTAACTTCAACATGGACACATGTTTTTTACAAGACAGTGTAAACAGTGTCTTTTTTATTTTTAACATGTGAAGAAGGTAAAAGTGCAGAGGGGACTACAATGAACCTGTAAAAAGTCCCAAACATTCGTTTTGTTTCTTTACATGACATCAGTACTAAAAAAAAAAAAAAAAAAAATCAATTACGTGTGTCCTGACATTGCCATTACATTCACAGGCAAACTTCTTATTGCTGTAACAATTATTGAATTTAACATTCAAGGTATTCCTTTCAAATACATGAACACTTCCCAAAGAATAGAAATAATGCACTAGCCAGGGAATATCCAAGTGGCTAACAAGCCTTTAACCAAAATAATAGCAATTACTTTACTCCTTTAAAATCACAGCTGTACAAAAACAATGTAAACACATGTACATATTTTTTAGGAGTTATGGCATTTCAAATCTATATAATGTCCATTGTGTAGATGTTGGAGTACAAGAGAGCCTCCAGCTCTGCACGCAACTCAGGAAAGCTGTTGTAGGTTGATGGTAGCTCCACAGTTGGACCACAGGTATGTATGATGGGTCGCCTTTCTAACCCATCTAAAGTTGTAAATATCACCTCAATTTCTTTGACACAGATTACATCGGAGCCAGTCACATACCTTAACATCTTTCTCAGGCCCATGTCATCCAATCCCCTTACATACTGATGGAAAAATTTCAAACTCTGGTTTTCAGCTTGAGTCGACGGAGAGGCTGTGAGTAACTTCAAAACTTTGCGTGTTGTTGGTTTTAAATCATCATACATTTTCTGTAGTTCCTGGATACTTCCAAACATCTCCCTGAGACGGGGTCCTGCTGTTGTAGCAATGTTATCCAGTGCATATTTTGGATGCTGAATTATTTGTTTGTGTGCGACTTGGAGGAGAATAGGCTTCAGATTATCTGGTATTGGTACCGTCCGCACTCCCATCCGATCCATGATATCAAGGAGCTCATCTCGATCATCACCAACCAAACTGTCTTTCAAAGCAGTTGCCAAGAGATCACGCTCTGACTGACTTAAGTATAACAAAAGTGAGTCAAACAAAAGATCAGGGGACACTGAGTGTTCGCCAAATATAACAGCTGCAGAAAATGCTGGAGCAAGACGAGCAGGAAAATATCCATGATCCTGAAAACCTTTGATCAGGATTCTGCCTACGGAACGCCATTCTTCTTCCTGCCATTTTGGCGACAGGGAAGGCACTCTTACATCCGCTCGCTCTGCAGCACAGTCTAAAAATTCAGTCCAGAAGGCAGCATACACATCCCTGGACACTCCATCAGCATCTGAACCCTTTTCATGAATAAAGCTGTATTTAATTGGGCAGGTCAACACCAATTCATCTTTAAATTGTGTGATCAGCTCTTCTAACAAATTCACTCTGTGAAGATGTATTGTAACATGCATCAATTCCACTGGAACAGCAGGCAGGTGACATGGCCCACTCTCAAATCTTATGGGAGTCGAGGTATTTGGTGCTGCATTATCTGGAGGTTCATCAGTCATTATGGCCTCAAGTGGAACTGTATCATCAAGATATCCTATGACTGCTCCTTGCGTAGCACCAATGATAACTTCAGACGTGTCACAAATCGATGTAAGGTCCACAATATCAACTTCTCTTGATATAGAAGATGGTAAAAATGAGGCGACATAATGCTCATCACAACTGTCTCCTTGCATTACTTGTTGTGTAACGTTAACAATTGTGTGACTGTGAAGATCTTCCTCCTTTTCTTGGGATATTGCATCAGCATTCGTCTGAGTTGACAAATAAAAGCGTAGTATACCGAATTTATGTGCTTCATAAAGTTCTCCCACTGTAACATTCTCATCGAGGGGTGATTCCTGGAAGTCAACAATGGAGGGAATAAACTCTTCCCACATGCCTATCTTTGATTCATTTTTGGGAAAAAATAAATCCTTGGCTTGTGATAAAATCTTTTTTGCCGTCGCTTTCTTGGATATGTCAATGATCCTAGTTCCTCCACCATTTCGTTTTCTAACCATT